TTACTAAAATTATAAAGTTCGCTTGGAATTGCATTCTAAATTTTGCCGTCCAAGTATTTATTCATCTATTTAAAAAAAATAAAAATATTCAGAAAAAGAATAAAAATTGTAAAACTTTTTTGAATAAACTATTTGGTTTAAATTTTAACTTTTATTGAGCTTTTAGTTCTGCTCTTCGTTGGGCTCCCTTTTTGGTAGGATATTTGCCTTATGATCCTTACCCGATCATATTTCCATCGAGGCCTTTTGGCCTATTCTAAGCAGTCTTTAGTATTATCAAATTGTATTTCAACTACTTCAACAAATTTTGTATACAAGCTTGTAGCTAAAGATGACGAAATAAAAACAATTAACGACGCCCTTCGCGAGGGCACACGGCAATTAATATTCAGAGAAATATTGAAAGGTATTTTTAGATATAGATATATATAATATCCTCCGAACCAAAGGTATGGCAGTGGTTCTAGGGAACTTTTTTAAGGAGCCTGCTACGATAAATTATCCATTTGAGAAAGGACCACTTAGCCCTCGTTTCCGGGGTGAACATGCTTTACGTCGGTACCCAAGTGGTGAAGAGAGGTGCATCGCATGCAAACTCTGCGAAGCAATCTGCCCAGCTCAGGCAATAACTATTGAAGCAGAACCTAGAGCTGATAATAGCAGACGTACTACACGCTATGACATTGATATGACTAAATGCATATATTGCGGCCTTTGTCAAGAAGCCTGTCCAGTTGATGCGATAGTTGAGGTGAGTGCTAATGGTTTCTCCGTTAATTTGTTTACATTTTGGATTATTTTTATTCCAAATTTTTTCAGGGTCCAAATTTTGAATATTCAACTGAATCTCGCGAAGAACTTTTTTATAATAAAGAAAAGCTTTTGCAAAATGGAGACAGATGGGAAGTTCAAATAGCAGAAAATATCAAAGCTGATTATGTATATCGTTGATTTTACCCTCACTGATTCTAACTACCTAGCCCAATGTCCCATGTCTTTCTAGCATTTATAAATTGGGATAAAAAATTCTTTGATCTCTTATCTTGTTT